CAACCTGGCCTTGAACACTGTCAGGGATGGAGCATTCACAACCTCCCTGGGCAACCCATTCCAGTGCCTCAGCACCCTCACAGTAAAGAACTTCTGCCTTATCTCCAATCTAAACTTCCCCTGTTTCAGTCTGAACCCATCACCCCTTGTCCTATCACTGCAGTCCCTAATGAAGAGTCCCTCTCCAGCATCCTTGCAGCCCCCTTCAGACACTGGAAGCTGCTCTGAGGTCTCCACACAGCTTCTCTTCTCCAGGCTCAACAGCCCCAATGTTCTCAGCCTGGCTCCATACAGGAGCTGCTCCAGCCCCTGAGCATCCTCATGGCCTCCTCTGGACTTGTTCCAACAGCTCCATGTCCTTCTGATGCTGAGGACACCAGAACTGCACACAGTGCTGCAAGTGGGGTCTCACGAGAGAAGAATAAAGGGGCAGGATCACCTCCTTTGCCCTGCTGGTCACGCTCCTTTTGCTGCAGCCCAGGATACGGTTGCTTTCTGGGCTCAAGCGCACACTGAACCCGGCTCATGTTCAGTTTGTGATCATCCAACAGCCCCAAGTCCTTCTCCTTGGGCTGCTCTGAATCTCTTCTCTGCCCAGCCTGTAGCTGTGCCTGGGATTGCCCCGACCGAGGTGCAGGACCTTGCACTTGGCACGGTTAAGTCAATCTTCCAGTCTGCTTTCCATGGGGCAGCTGGTATGAGAAGGGAATGCTTCAGGAATGCTTAGCTCTGTCTGAGAGCCTCACTCAAAGAGAACCAAGAGAAGCTGTTGAGCATCTGCAACAAAGCAACAACTCCAAAGGGGCTGGAAGGGAGATGAAATGTGAGGAGTTTATGTAAACACTTGATATGAAGTAAAGGTGTGGAGAGGCCTGCAGAGCTCCAACAGGAGAAGAGGTATCAGCTCCACTGCAGCTAAATGGAGAGATACTTAAAGATAGCAAGGTGGCCACTACCACAAGAATACCTGAGGGCTTACTAATAGGAAGATAAAAGGTGCATTTTTAGACTGTTAATACATAAAGGAACACCTTTCATTTGGATACAACCGTATTACAGCATGCATGAGGTCACCACCACTCAAGGTACTAAAACAAGAACTGTGCTGCCCAGAACAGGTTTAATCCCCTTCCAAAATACCTCATTCCTAGTGATGTTGCCTAGAGGAAGGATTAGAAACATTTAACAGACAAAGTGTCCATTTCCTTATCCTTTGGTCCATTTTCCAGTTCTACTAACTCCTTCATAATGGTAATGGCTATTCAGTGGTCTTTATTGTGTAGGCAGCAATTTCCTCCCCAGCTGACTGCTTTTCTCCTTCTAACATTAATTTCATGTGCTACTTTTTTGCCTGGTCAACACTCGTTGAGACATCACTGTCTCTTGCTCATAAGCTTTGTATTTGGTTACAGAGAACGACACTGAATGACCGGGCAGCAAAGGCTTGAAGCAAGAACCCCCCCATGTGCTGGGCTGCACCCCCAGAGCATGAGCAGCAGCTCAGGGAGGGGATCCTGCCCCTCTGCTGTGTGAAGGGGAGACCTGAGAGCAGCTCCAGTGCCTAAAGGGGCTGCAGGAAAGCTGGAGAGGGGCTTGGGACAAGGGCCTGTAGGGCCAGGCCAAGGGGAATGGCTTGAACCTGCCCGAGGGGAGACTGAGCTGAGCTCTTAGGCAGAAGCTCTTCCCTGTGAGGGTGCTGAGGCGCTGGCACAGGGTGCCCAGAGAAGCTGTGGCTGCCCCATCCCTGGCAGTGCTCAAGGCCAGGTTGGACACAGGGGCTTGGAGCAAGCTGCTCCAGTGGAAGGGGTCCCTGCCTGTGGCAGGGGTTGGGACTGGATGGGCTTTAAGGTCCTTTCCAATACAAACCACTCTGAGACTGTGATTCTTCACCGTCTTCAAATCACCACCTCTCCCTTCAGTTCCTTCTCCATACTCTTTCACAGTATCACAGTATGTTAGAGATTGGAAGGGACCTCAAAAGCTCATCCAGTCCAATCCCCCTGCCGGAGCAGGAACACCTAGATAAGGTTACACAGGAACGTGTCCAGGCGGGTTTTGAATGGCTCCAGAGAAGGAGACTCCACAACCTCCCTGGGCAGCCTGGTCCAGTGTTCTGTCACCTCACTGAGAAGAAGTTTCTTCTCCAGTTTAAGTGGCACCTCTTGTGTTCCAGTTTGTACCCATTACCCCTTGTCCTATCATTGTTTGCCACTGAGAAGAGCCTGGCTCCATCCTCGTGACACTCCCCCTTTATATATTTATATACACTAATAAAGTCACCCCTCAGTCTCCTCTTCTCCAAACTATAGAGACCCAGCTCCCTCAGTCTTTCCTCATAAGGGAGATGCTGGAAGATGTTATGTTAAATCATTATGGTAAATAACATAATCACTCTCTCAGTGCTTTGAGAAGGGTGGTTCCCACACACATTTCAGGAGGAGAGAAACCAGAACCTCGCCAGCAATTCTCCTTCCCTGATAAACCTCAAGTATTTACTTTAATCCCACATCTTCTGTATCTCTTCATCAGTTATTAACCTAGGAGAAAACCCTCACCACCCCACTGCAATGTCCTTTTACATAAGCAGAGACTGAGTGGGAAGCTTGTTGAGGCCTCCCAGTGAATCCAAGACATTAAAGCAGATGAATCACCCTTATCCCCTCCTTTTGAAGGACATTTTCCCTCTTAGAGAGAAAATGATGTTGATTATTCCCACCACATCATATCTGTCTATGTGTGAATTGCCTCCATTCATCACTGCACTTGTCTTATCAGCCTCATAGGGATATAGGGTTTCTTCATCTCTAATACCCAGGGCCCCTCCTGAAGCCCTTTTCAAAGGCTGGGCCACATTGAGGTGGGTTTTAGCACCAGATTACACACTGCTGTTTATATTCAAGCAGTTTACACTTGAACTTACATTAAAGCTCTTGGCTGAAAGCAGCTGGAGCCCATTTCCACAGGACATGATACTAGAAACGTCTGAGAGATGTAGAAAAAGACCCCTGAACGTGGTCCTTCTAAAGTAATATGGGTCAAGGAAAGCACTTGCACCTTTGCTTTTCAGTGAGCCACAATTATTTATACAGAAGACCAGGTTGCTTTCCTTTGGAAATAAAGAAAGGTTCACTTTGAATAAAGCTTCAAAAGAAGTCCTACAAAAGAAAGGACTGGATAAGAGGGAAAGCAGCAAGTGGGTAAAGAAACCACCACAGATCAGCACTGACTTCACGAACTGGACCCAGTGCATACAGAACATGGACAACAGCATGTACACAGGTGAATGGCACCAGCATGACTTTTCCCATTGGTTTTCCATGATTGCATTTCTCAGTCTTTCAGAAACAGTCATTTTTAGTTTGATGTTTTATAGCAGCTTATTAAAACCCCACGTTCCTGCAGGTTTCTAATGTCACACTACAGAGGGCTCACACCATCCAAAAGACACAAGTGCTTATGGAAACTCAAATGAGATGAAGATCCCACCTAGTTTACTACACACTTGGTCTGTAGTGCACACAAAATGTAGCCAGACATAGAGGAAACAGGAATGCCTTTGCAGGGATTATCTTGGAATGCCCTGAGATGAGAGCAACCCATAACCCACCCGAGCCTGGCAGGACTTTACCCAGGCTATCTCCTCACCTTTTTATTATGTCAGATGTCCTTTTTGCTTGTTTTGTTGTGAAAATATTAAATTCACTTCTGGCATTACATCCAAATAAGAGCATTAAAGGATGACAACAAACCATGCATCTAAGCCTGGAATTATGTAGGCATCAATGAGTAACTTTACCTTGTCTGTGATAAGGAAATACTTTATAACCATTTTCATGCACTGAACATTTAGTCAGCACAAATATTCATGGGTTACTAAGAGAAAAGAACAACCACGTATATACACCGAGCAAAGACAGGATGATGCCTCAAGAACTACCAGCCCTGCATTGCCTCTGTGATACCCAGATCTGGTTAAGCCTTCTAAGAAGTCATGTACTAGGCTTATAAATGAATTTGTAACACTAGGATTTACTCTAGGTGGCATTGCTTAAATTAGTCAAGATATAATGGAATTACATATAAAAGTCCCTTGGAAGCTCCTTTTTGGTGCTCTCATTTTCTCCTTCAGTTACCTGCTTTTCCCATCACCATTTTTTCCCCCAGGATGCAGAAAGATGCTGATAATACAGGGATTTGTCAAAACACACTGATGGTTACTCAATAAGGCAATTTGAAATGCAAATTACAGGCTTTGAAGGTGCTGTGTCTGATTGCATCACCTGGAAATAGTGTGCAGAGAGCAACCTGAAATCAACTTTGCAAATGGCAATGTATGAAGTGCAACTACAGAGAGGGTGAACTGGATTTAAAGAGCTGATTTTGTAGATTTTACAGGTTTTCTGTCACTATCTCATTTTAAGATATGTACATTTAAGTAATTTTAGGATGATATTAAAAAAAGAAAGGGTAAGCCATCATATTTGAGCTTTTTAAGTATGTAATTTCCTATGAGTTCAAGTATCTTGGCTTGACTTTGTGACACCATCACTTTTGATTTGCTGTTCTCTACAACTCATGGTTTGAAACCAAGATATAATGGTTGTATTTTCATTAATCATGCCATAAAGAAATGTTCTGATCAGGTATGTGGACATTTAAAAGGATTATGGGATATGTTATTGAGCAACTAAACCATTTCCAGCTTATTTGAGGTGAACTACAATAGGCAAATACAGCTCTTAGTTGTACAAACCTGATTCCTTTATCCAAGTGAGCTTTCAGGAATTCAATATAAAGGTGAGTGCTTAGTTTTGGGTTTGATAACAGGTACCCAAATACCCTGCACACTACTGCAGGATCCATCTCCTGCACTGCATTCATCTATTCCAGCATACTGGAAAACTCAACAAAGCAACCCAGGAGTTTGTACTTCCAGACCCATTTTGCTTTCTGTATTTTCACACTTCCCAACTCCCATATATAAAAATCAGCTTCCTTACCTTCATAATGTTTACTAGGTCTGTTTGATAATAGCGATCTTGGTGTGCATTAGCAGCTGCTAATGTGAGAAGATAATCATTCCTTGCATGGATCGCCTTGGAATTACACTCAGATCGCCGTGCTTTTAACTACAACAAGAAATAGAAGTTAAAAGATAGGCATTAATGAGAAGCTAAATGAGCAAACGTGTATGAACAGTAAATTAACATGCATATGTATGTATTAATAAAGTCAAAGCTTTAAAGGACTGATAGTTTAGCAGCTTTGTTAATGGTTATGGGATTTCTAATGTATCTTGCCCTCATACAGTTGTATTTGCACATGTGATCTGTAAAGAACAGTTACATCTCCCACTAGAAAGAATGTCCTTATGGACATAGGTAATTCTGCACTCTGCTTAAAGAGTCTTCTCTCATCACCTTCTCTAAAGATATACCTTCCAAACAGTCAGTCATCTAAGATGCAAGACAGCTTTGGTCCCACAACTTGTGAAATCAGCAGCAAAACCACTGTTTCTTCTACTCACCTTTACACTTGCCTTCTGCAAGCTTATTCTTGACTGAAAAAGACTAAGTTTGGACCTGAAACAGAAATGATGACAGGATATTACTAATATCATTTCTACAAATGTGCCGGAGTAACGACCACTGCACCTCACTTAAAATACCAATTTAAATGACTCTTTAAGCCTTCATTTTTATTTGTATAGATTTAAGTGGAGCTTGAGTACCACAGAAAGTATTACGAAGTACACTGAACTACACCAATAAAGGGCATTCTACCCCTTTGCTCTGCTCTGGTGGGACCCCACTTGCAGCACTGTGCAGTTCTGGTGTCCCCAATGTCAGAAAGACATAGAGCTGTTGGAGTAAGTCCAGAGGAGGCCACGAGGATGCTCAGGGCCTGGAGCAGCTCCTGTATGGAGCCAGGCTGAGAACATTGGGGCTGTTGAGCCTGGAGAAGAGAAGCTGCGTGGAGACCTCAGAGCAGCTTCCAGTGTCTGAAGGGGGCCTATAAGGATGCTGGAGAGGGACTCTTCATTAGGGACTGGAGCAACAGGATAAGGGGCAAGGAGTTTAAATGCAAACAGGGGAAGTTCAGGTTGGAGATAAGGCAGAAGCTCTTCCCTGTGAGGGTGCTGAGGCGCTGGCACAGGGTGCCCAGAGAAGCTGTGGCTGCCCCATCCCTGGCAGTGTTCAAGGCCAGGTTGGACACAGGGGCTTGGAGCAAGCTGCTCTAGAGGAAGGTGTCCCTGCCTGTGGCAGGGGTTGGGACTGGATGAGCTTTAAACTCCCTCCCAAACCAAATCAGTCTGGGATCCTATCATTCTATGTTCCAGTATTTAAGGGGTGGCTACAGAGAAGATGGAGACTCCCTTTTTACAAGGAGTCCCATGGAAAAGCCAAGGAGTGATGGGCACAAATTACCCCTGGGGACACCAGAGTGAAGTTTTTCCAGTGAGAACAAGCAGCCATTGGAATAACCTCCCCAGGGAAGTGGTGACTCCCTAACGTTGGACACTGTTAAAACTGGGCTGCACAGGGTGCTGGACTATACAGTCTAGGTCATGCTTTGCCTGGAAAGGTTGGACCAGATTATACTCGAAGTCCTTCCAACCTGGGTTTCCATGATTCTATGAAATGCTTCCAGAAATGTATATAAGCAGAAAGCAAACAACCTGGCCCAAGCTCATTGAAAGCAATTACCTTCTAAAACTAATACAAGTCCCAATCTGCTTGATATGCATGCAATTATTGATACATATGCTATTAGAACAACCTACTTGGCCTCAATATCTGCTTTCTCCCGCACCGCTTGAGCCATCTGCTCCGTCTCAAAGTATTTCTTCTTGCCTTTAGCTAAATCTTTGACTGTCTCCTGTAACTCAGCCTGGATCCTCGTCAACTGGTCCACACACTGGAAAAAAGCAGGCAGGAAACAAAGCATTAATGGGTTTTTGCATTCCAAATCATGCCATCATCATGGTTTTACTGCTCTTGATTACATTTTAGACGGCACGACACCATCTCCAAGTCACTCCATGGTGTTTTTAAAGCTGATCAGTGCATAAACCCATGTTTCTTTCTTTGTGTTGCTCTTTGACTACTGAAATGCAATGATAACTCACAAATGAAATATTCAACTTGTGAAAGCTTTGGGTGAGGCGATGAGTTGAAATAAGTGGAATGCAATTGGGGAAAATCCAATGGCAAGCTATCAGAGGTGATAAAGAAAATGGTTAATCCTTCCTTCTCTGCAGTCTAAAGTGTAAGACAAAGGCTGCCCCATAAAACACATCAGAGCAACAAGAATAATCTGGAAAAAGTTATTTTAAGAGCCTATTTTTCTCTATTTTGAGGGGTTTCTAACAAATAGGGATGTATCAGAAATCACTGTCATTCACTTAGAGCCTTAAAATGCAGAATGGGTGAGTGAAGGAGGGAAAATATCCCCAACCTTTTTCCATCCAAGCCAAGCAATGTCACAAGACACATTTTAATGTCACAATAGAATAGTCAAAGGAATAGCAGAAAAATACCATACTGGTTCTGAACTGGGAGAATGTGAACTTTGAGTGCAGGAGCTGGTACAGGGCTGTGGGTTGGATTTGGAACCGGAACTGCAGGAATAACCCAGGGATGCTTTAGTGATTGCTGAGCTGATTCCTATCAGCTTCCAAGTATGTATCTGGGAAGGGATCCGTGGTAAGCAGAAAGGACCTTGCCCACAAACCAAATGTGAATTATCAATGTCTTGAACTAGACTATCTTTAAAAGAGATTTGTAAAGATTTTCTTGTACCCAAATGAGCTTAAGTACATGTAAGAGTGATAGTTCAATGCATTTACATTTAATTATGGATGTTACAGACTGGATGTGGTCAATGAAGGCTCCAGGCAAAACTCAGAGGAAGAGCCTCAAGCGAGCTTAAGGAAAGCAATTTGTCTTTCAAGTTGCCTTTTTTGCCCTTCAAAGACCAGACCCATGCTCTCACCTCTTTTCACACCATTATCACATACCCAGCTGTGTGGATCTGGAGGTTCTGGGGGACTCCACCTCCATAGGAATCAACAGGGAGTGGCTGGAGCAGAGAAACCCAACAGGGTTCTGGGGAACATCAACAAGGGCATGAGCAGCAGAGATAAAGGTGTCGCTGTCCCATTCTGCTCAGTGCTGGCCAGGTCACTCCTGGAATATGGGTTTGGTGTTGGTCCTGCTGTACAAGAGATGTGGCAGGGCTGAAGACGGTCCAGAGAAGAGCCACAAGGATGCTCCAAGGGCTGGGCAGCAGTGAGGAAAGGCTGAGAGAGCTGGGACTGTTCAGCTGGAGAAGAGAAGGCGCAGGGAGACCTGATCCATGTGCCAGGAGGTAAAGGGGGGATGCAGGGAAGATGGAGACTCCCTTTGGACAAGGAGTCCCATGGGAGAGCTGAAGGGTGATGGGCACAAGTTACTGCTGGGGGATTCCCACTGGACACAAGAAAACTTTTCCCACTGGGAACACTCGGCCATTGGAATAATGTCCCCACGGAAGTGGTGACTCCCCAGTGCTGGACACTGTTAAGATTGGGCTGCACAGGGTGCTGGGCATCCAGTCTAGGTCATGCTGTGCCTGGAAAGGTTGGAGCAGATGATCCTTGAGGTGCCTTAACCTGGGATTCTGTGACTGTATTCTTCTTCCAGTCCAGGTGCCTCACATTGTTCTCTTATTGAACACCCCCTCTAAACACCTCAGGTTTTTCATTACACTACTTATTAACACATGCAACCTCTTTTACAAGCATTTTGAGAAGAATAAGGTGATGTAATCCAACATCATCACTTTGATTTCACAGCATTCAACTATTGTTAATAATAATAATATCCAGCCCATAAAGAAAGCAGCTTTCTGTTTGAGGCAACAGAAATCACTCCTCACCACACAATTCTGCTCTCACTCAAAATGTCACATTCCTTTCTGGCTATAAAGTCCATACAAATTCACGTAGGTTCACACTAAACCCAGTGTTTGATGTGTGCAGACCAATAAAGCACCAGGCTCCATGAGGCAACTCCGTGGTGGGTGGTTTGGGAAATGGTGGGGGGTTTCTGAAGACCCCCAAGTGTAGGATAGAGAAACGAACGGTAGAAAGATGTGTGTATGTTGGAGAGCTGACAGAGACCTAAAATCACTGCAAAACGAGGGGGGGGTTGCTGCATCAGTTGGTATTTTGATCCCTGAAGTCTCCTGCTGGCACCAAGAAATGAAAGTATCAAATAACCCCAGTTGTTAACATGATGGTTTTAAAAGCATAAAAACATCTTGGCTGCTGCATCTCCAAAGATGGTGTTAGGAGACTGGATGGTGTTCAGGGGTTTGGGGTTGTGCAGACACTGTAAAAAGCTGTTTCAGAGGTGACAGAGGTGGTTTCTTGTTGCATTCCCTCCACATAGAGTGGTTTTATTCTATTTGCCTTCAGTCTTCTGACAGAGATCCATGTAAATGTCTTCAGTGGTGGCCACATCGTCTTTATAGAGATACCTGATGAAGAGAACGTCTTCCAAGGCCAACATCTGAAATCACACATCACTTATGGGATAAGCTGACAAGGTCTCTAGGGAAAGATAATGGCAGGGGGTGGGCTGCTGCCCTTCAAACAGCCTTTTGTCTGTATCCTGGGAGGCAGGGGATCAGTTTTCTTACAAGGTCGGATGTGGTCCACAGGAGACACATTCATACCCTGCTCCAGAGTCACCCTGTGATCCATCCATGTTTTTCAGCCACTTACGATGAGGTTTTCTGAACTGGTTCCAGTTTAGTATTAAAAAGGGGGGATAAAATGAAGTTTCTATATCCTACCAAGTGGAGGATGGAAAGGTTTATGGCAACATCTTGAAAATGAAGATGGGATCTCATTGAGAGCAACTCAATACCTGCTGCAACCTTGGAAGGAGACATTGCTTTTAACAGGAACTTCATTTCAGATGGGCATTCCAGTGTAATGGGACAAGTATTTTACTGACTCAGCAATTCAGTGCTGATAAGCTTTTGTCTGGATAGAGGTCAGCATAATGTATTATTTATTCCTTTGGAAATTCAAAGGAAAGGTGAAATTTAGACAGTAATGTATAAAAACCTATACTTTTTGTGGAGGAAAATGAATACTACCAAGTGGATGGTTATTCCATGTTGTAGGAAAACTGTACCACTGTTAGAATCCTTTGGACCACAAGTAGTGTTCTGGTAACTGCAATAACTTGTTCTGCTAATTGAAAACTGTAGGAAAACCAGGAATTTCTATCATTTACATAAATTTAAAGAAGGGGTCCCCAAGAAGTGGTTCATCTGATCCAACCATTAACCCATCAGTGCCAAGGCCACCACTGCCCCATGGCACTGAGGCCTCATCTCCATGGGGTGTGAACCCTTGCAGGGCCGGTGCCTGCAGCCCTGCCCTGGGCAGCCTGTTCCAATGCCTGAGCACCCTCTGGGGCAGGAATTGCTCCTCAGCTCCATCTAAACCTGCCCTGGTGCAGCTTGAGGCCGGTTCCTCTTGTCCCATCCCTTGTTCCTTGGGAGCAGAGCCCAGCCCCTCCTGGCTCCATCCTCCTCTCAGGCAGTTGGAGGCAGCCATCAGGTCCCCCCTGAGCCTTCTCTTCTCCATCTGAACCCCCCAGGTCCCTCAGCCCTTCCCCATCACACTTGGGCCCTGTATGACATCCTCAGCTTCTGATGGGCACTTTGGAAAGCTCTGGCCTGTTTCTTGATGCACTGGACATGCCACGCAATTCCATGGGTATATTTAGCTAAGGAATTTCTTAGGAAAGCAGCTTACAGGTTCACTTCTTTCCTAAGAACTTTTAGTCACCATCCCCTAAAAAGCACGGGATAAAACTCTGCTGCTCTGCACTTGAGTCCTATTGCAATTTTCTTTATAAACACAGGAATTCATGGAAAAGTGAGGTTCCCTATTGCAGAATAGATTCGGTGTATAAGTCGAAACAAATTGTATGATCAAGTTGTGCATGATGGAAGCTCATATAGTGAATAGTTGGTAGTCAACTGATATCTGAAAGAGGGGCTCTCTGTGTTAGAAGAGCCAGAATACCTCCAGTTCTATGACTCTGTGATTGCACCAGTCATTCCTTCAGGTTTAAGCTACGCCTTTCCTCAAAATCAGAACCCTTTCTAACAAAACCCACTTGGAATTGTCACTACAAACCCCACTGCCACAGCAGGATGTTAGATTTGCAGCGATAGCTCTGACCCAAGGTGTACCCCATTTGAGAAGACTCATTTCCAAGCAGTTTTAATCTCTGCTCTGAATCGTGATCCCTCTTTGACAAACTGGTATTTCCTTCTGTAACAACATGCACAGGAAGAGACTGAAAGAACACATTACAGAAGTGCCATAGGAAAAGACTGCCAATCACCAAGTAGAAATGCCAGGAGGTGAAAGGAGTTATCAAAGCACAAGTACCTTCTTCAACTGCTGCTCCTTAAAGCACCGCACAGTCCGGGCTGGCTCTGAAATCAGGTTCTTATAGTTCTCGCAGATATTGAGGCGGGATTGAGCCACCTGCATCGTGCCTTCTAAAAGGGACTTCCATACGGAGTACATGCTCCTGAAAGAAGGAAACACAGAACGGTTGTGGGAAGAAGGGAAGGGGAAGGAGAAGAAAGAAGAGGAAGGAGAAAAGAGGGAAAAAAGAAGGGCAGGACTGGGGAAGTTACAGTGAGCATAGGGTGAGGGTGCTGAGGCGCTGGCACAGGGTGCCCAGAGGACCTGTGGCTGCCCCATCCCTGGCAGTGCTCAAGGCCAGGTTGGACACAGGGGCTTGGAGCAAGCTGCTCCAGTGGAAGGGGTCCCTGCCCATGGCAGGGGCTGGACCTGGAGGAGCGTTAAGCTCCCTTCCAACCCAAACCATTCCATGATTCTATGATTTTTGGTCGAAGCTGGTGCTGCAATGGACCAGACCCTACACACCCCAGCAGCAAAGCCAGATAGCACGTTAACAATCTTCTATAAGATCATGGAATTTGTGATTTGGGCATCTTGCCATTAAGCAAACATTCACGGACTGCTCATCCACTTTATCTCGGTTACCTGTAGTCCCTTCATCATGTGTAACAAGATAACATCCCTAGGTGTGTAGTGAGCTTTGCATGGCCCCAGTATCTCACCACTAAAGCTCAGAAGTGCCCAAGAAGAGGGTGGTGCAGGGTGAGAGGGGAAAGAGGGTGAGACCTCCCCCTGGCTCACAGAAAGGAAAGGCTGGTGGAGCTCACAGAGCCCAAGCACCTGGTGGTGAGGAGCACGGGGGTGGCAGGTACTTGAAGAAGACCTCTGGGCATTATGGGTGTATTTGATGGCATGAAAGGCTGTGAGTGGGGAGCAAACTGCAGGTAGGAGGGATCTGTGTGATATGGGAGCATTTTCTATCTGCTTCAGACTGATAATGCAGTTTGTTTCTTCCACATGCAAGTGGTGTGAAGGTACTGACAGCCCAAAGCACAAATTCCATCAACAGTTTCTTCCTGTTTGCAATAAAACTTGTCAGAATAACACAAAGAACAGATTCAAATCCAGTATCTTAAAAGATTTAAGAAGTCCCATTCAAAGGGGGGAGGCTTTCAGCAACTGAGTCACTTCTGCTTTCATGTTCTGATCCACCTTTCATGTTAATGGAACTAAGTTTTGTAAACAAGTGGTTCTTGCTCTGCCTCCTCCCTGCTGTCAGATGGGATCTGCATGAAGAATGCTCTCCTAAAGAGGAATACCTTGCTGCCTTTTCCTATGAGAAGGTTCCCATACTTCTCACTCTAACCTTAAAGCTATGTGCTAGAATATAGAGAATCACAGAATCAACCAGGCTGGAAAAGAACTTAAAGATCATCAATTCCAACCGTTCCCCAGCACTGCCAAGGCCACCACTAACCCATGGCACTAAGCCACCACTAGATTCAGTTTTAAGCATGAATACCCAACAGGGTGCACTAATACAGTTGCCCCGTGGTGCCATTTTACTATTCCAATCTTCCTGAATTATTTCTAGGCTGGTTTGGGTTGGAAGGGACCTTAAAGCTCATCCAGTTCCAACCCTTGCCATGGGCAGGGATGCCTTCCACTGGAGCAGCTTGCTCCAAGCCCTGCTTTTATTCCAGTAATAAGCATCCATTTAAGCCTAATCTCAGTACTTCAGGGGAAAACAGCTTCATTTTTAACTGACAATGCTCTACCACAAAGAAAAGAAATGACTTTAACTACAGCAGAGCAGTGTTAAATAGGTAAGCAAAATAATTACACAAATGGAAATTATAAAGAGTAGCTTCAAGATGTCCAACTGTGAAATTACCTATAATCACTTCTCTCGTCAGCTTTTATTCCAAGCCAGTCCTTCTTCAAGTATTGGCTGGCCAGTTTCTGAATGCTCTGTTAAAAGAAGGAAAAACAAGTTTAAAAGAGGTATGTTTTTGCTCTTGCATCAGACATTCTGCTCCTATATCTTTATACGTATGACAACATATAAAGAGGTGATCAATCTGTATTAGTAGCAAACTATACAGTGCAAGGTTGTTATTCCCCCCCCCCCCCTTTTGTTTGACTTCAGTTCCTCTTGAGAACCATTAAGGAGTTTCAGGTTAATAGCTGAAACCAGAAGGACTCTGAGATCCACACAGAGAATCATAGAAGATGCACACCTCAGCTTTCTGGGCTGCAAGCTGCACCAAAAGCAGCGTGACCAGCAGGTCCAAGGAGGTGATCCTGCCCCTCTGCTCTGCTCTGGTGAGACCCCACTTGCAGCACTGGGTGCAGCTCTGGTGTCCTCAACATCAGAAGGACATGGAGCTGTTAGAACAAGTCCAGAGGAGGCCACGAGGATGAGCAGGGGCTGGAGCAGCTCCTGTATGGAGCCAGGCTGAGAACATTGGGGCTGTTGAGCCTGGAGAAGAGAAGCTGCGTGGAGACCTCAGAGCAGCTTCCAGTGTGTGAAGGGGGCTGCAAGGATGCTGGGGAGGGACTCTTCATTAGGGACTGCAGTGATAGGACAAGGGGTGATGGGTTCAGACTGAAACAGGGGAAGTTTAGATTGGAGATAAGGAGGAAGTTCTTTCCTGTGAGGGTGCTGAGGCACTGGAATGGGTTGCCCAGGGAAGCTGTGAATGCTCCATCCCTGGCAGTGTTCAAGGCCAGGCTGGACAGAGCCTTGGGTGCCATGGTTTAGTGTGAGGTGTCCCTGCCCATGGCAGGGGGTTGGAACTGGATGATCTTAAGGTCCTTTCCAACCCTAACTATTCTATGATTCTATAAGTAAGGACATGAGTTGTGTGAAGCCATGAAATGACACTTATATGCCCACAATGGAATCCCCAACTTTGATCATTCAAGGTTTCACGGTCATCAGTGAACTACAGAAGTTCTCTTGCATTGGGATTAGGCAGTTACTCACAGCAGCCATGAGACTGAAAAATGTAGCACATTTTTAATTATTAATGTTAATTCTGCTCTTTAGTCCCTGTGTTTCTCTTTGCATGCTGTCAGGAAATCAGTGACAATAGTTTCATACTGAAGCTTAGAGAGCAGCAGCATTTAATTCATAAGCCCTGCAAGGGTGAGAGAGTTGCTGTCACAGGTATTGAATTTGAATCCCAGAGTGGTTTGGGTTGAAGGGACCTTAAAGCTCATCCAGCTCCAACCCCTGCCACGGGCAGGGACCCCTTCCACTGGAGCAGCTTGCCCCAAGCCCCTGTGTCCAACCTGGCCTTGAGCACTGCCAGGGATGGGGCAGCCACAGCTTCTCTGGGCACCCTGTGCCAGAGGTGTTACCATTTAGCATGTGCAGATGAAACCACACAACCCACGTGTTGCCATCTAACACCAGACCTCCGGAGGCAACCGGGTGGTTTTGCATCAGCCCAGCCCCGCAGCTTTGCTTTCTTAAGCTTGATGCTGAATGTAACTTTTTCCTGTGAGCTCCTCCTTGTTCTGTTCTCAATAACACTTCTTGTTTTGCTGTAGCGAAACAAAGGCCACCACTGTCGGGCTCAGGCAGGGAAGTCAACTGGTTGTTTAACCTTTGGCTGCGCCCGACTCCATCCACAGCAATGGAGCACGATCCCTTCCGTGCACATCAATTGCGCTGTACAGGCTTGAGATGATGATGTTTCAATGCAGCGTATTTCTACAGAGCCAAGAATGGAATTCCATGCACATGTTCTCCTGATTTCCATACTGTTTGAGGACATGTTTCCTTGATACTCATTGGAAAATCACTTGATGGGGAGCTGGCACAGGGTGCCCAGAGAAGCTGTGGCTGCCCCATCCCTGGCAGTGCTCAAGGCCAGGTTGGACACAGGGGCTTGGAGCAAGCTGCTCCAGTGGAAGGGGTCCCTGCCCATGGCAGGGGTTGGGGATGGAGGATCTTTAAGGTCCCTTCCAAGGCAAATAATCAAGCATACTACAGAACACGACAGAGCTTCACTGAGTAATTACTGATAGCTTTACTTCCAATAATTACAACATAAATCCCCAGCCCAAGTTGAGTAAATGCATAAAACCTCTCCTTCCTCTCAGTTTCACTGACACCTGGAGTGTCACGACTCAAAATCCCATTTCAGGAGAAGCAATACTGGGAGATGGGTGCATCTGCACCCCAGCCACCATGAACCTTGTGCCCCACTGTGCTGGGCACTTCCATGTTCCAAGCAAAGGAAAGGAGCTGCCTTATGAAGACAGGCTGAGAAAGTTGGGGCTGTTGAGCCTGGAGAAGAGAAGCTGTGTGGAGACCTCAGAGCAGCTTCCAGTGTCTGAAGGGGGCTACAAGGATGCTGGAGAGGGACTCTTCATTAGGGACTGCAGTGATAGGACAAGGGGTGATGGGTTCAAACTGAAACAGGGGAAGTTTAGATTGGATATAAGGAAGAAGTTCTTTACTGTGAGGGTGCTGAGGCACTGGAATGGGTTGCCCAGGGAAGTTGTGAATGCTCCATCCCTGGCAGTGTTCAAGGCCAGGTTGGACAGAGCCTTGGGTGCCATGGTTTAGTGTGAGGTGTCCCTGCCCATGGCAGGGGGTTGGAACTGGATGAGCTTAAGGTCCTTTCCAACCCAAACTATTCTGTGATTCCATGATTCAAACCTGTGATAAGTGAGCAAACACTAAACCAATTTTTACTCTAAATACACAAAACCCCACTTCACCGGAACTACAAGAGGAGTCTGCTCTCTGATGGCTGTCAAACAACAGGTCTGGATCTACCTCTCCCCTTCAGTCTGAGGTGTACATCACTGAATTGAAGAGGAAGTTGAATAAATACTTCCTAAATGGCAATAGCAATCCATTGATTTGAAAGTACACTGCCTTTAATCAATTCTTATTGGAAGAAGAGGTCAAAAATGTCTGGAAACCCCTTCAAGCACTCTGCAACCTCTGCTCTCCAGTTGTCAAAGAGATGTACTTCCTGACTCCATTCATTATTAATACATTAAGCGAGACTTAGAAAAAGCAAATACATAATAAAGGCTTGGCTGTCGTATAAACCCAACTGGAACTCATGTGAAGACTCCTCCATGTCTTGGTTTTCCCTTCCTCCATCCAAACACCACATGTTGTGTTGCTGCACTATAAAAAAAGGAGTATTTGACATTGATGGGGATATAACTGTTTGCAAATCTGCCTGGCAGATGGATGTCTGTGACATAAAACTGTGGCAATCCATCACATGAGGAATCAACAGCTACAGATGAAGTTATGCTCAATGGAAGGAGCATAAAAGAGCAGCAAAGCTTCATGGGTGCTCAAATCCTGGAGCAAGAGAAGACAATTGTGGAGAAGAGAAGCTGTGTGGAGACCTCAGAGCAGCTTCCAGTGTCTGAAGGGGGCCTATAGGGATGCTGGGGATGGACTCTTCATCAGGGACTGCAGTGATAGGACAAGGGGTGATGGGTTCAACTGAAACAGGGGAAGTTTAGATTGTATATAAGGAAGAAGTTCTTTCCTGTGAGGGTGCTGAGGCACTGGAATGGGTTCCCCAGGAATCCTGTGAATGCTCCATCCCTGGCAGTGTTCAAAGGCCAGGTTGGACAGAGCCTTGGGTGCCACGGTTTAATGTGAGGTGTCCCTGTCCATGGAAGGGGGTTGGATGGTTGGTGTTTGGTTTTTTGTTTTGTTTGTGTTTTTTTTGGTGGTTTTTGGTTTTTTTTTTTTTTTTTTGTTTTGGTTGTGTGGGGGGGTTTTTTTACAAGGGTGATGGGTTCAACTAAGGGAAGTTTAGATAAGGAGAAGTTCTTTCCTGTGAGGGTGCTGAGGCACTGGAATGGGTGCCCAGGGAGGCTGTGAATGCTCCATCCCTGGCAGTGTTCAAGGCCAGGTTGGACAGAGCCTTGGGTGCCATGGTTTAGTGTGAGGTGTCCCTGCCCGTGGCAAGGGGTTTGGAACTGGATGATGTTAAGGTCCTTTCCAACCTGAACCATTCTATGATTCTATGTCCCAAACTGAAAGATGGCTGATAAAAAAAACATGTAGCTTAAAAAAACCATATTAATGACGGTTTTCAAAGCAGTCCTATGAACCTCAGACTGGTTTGGGTTGAAAGGACCTTAAAGCTCACCTAGCTCCAAGCCCTCCGCTATGGTCAGGAAGATCTTTAATAACTGAGTGGTACTGACAACAGCCAGGTCCCCATAAACCTATTATCAGTTGAGGAAGCATGGTAGGCATAGGTGATGTAACACTGAGGTTTGAAAAGGATCTCTCAACTGGCCAGATTTAGTGTTCTTTCGTATTTAGGTGCTTTCAGTATCTTGCATCATTTGGATCACTTCTCTTTATCAGAGTAAAAAGCACCCTCCTTATACCTTTCATTTCTACAAATAATTCTACACTCTGCTATTGTTGTTGCACTAAAAAACCTTGGAATTGAAAAGGACAGAGAAATCAGAGAATCCATAGACTGGTCTGGGTTGGAAGGGACCTTAAAGCTCCTCCAGCTCCAACCCCTGCCACAGGCAGGGACCCCTTCCACTGGAGCAGCTTGCTCCAAGCCCCTGTGTCCAACCTGGCCTTGAGCACTGCCAGGGATGGGGCAGCCACAGCTTCTCTGGGCACCCTGTGCCAGCGCCTCAGCACCCTCACAGGGAAGAGCTTCTGCCTAAGAGCTCAGCTCAGTCTCCCCTCGGGCAGGTTCAAGCCATTCCCCTTGGCCTGTCCCTGCAGGCCCTTGTCCCAAGCCCCTCTCTAGGTTTCTTAAACTTCATGCTGGATGTAACTCGTTTCTATGAGATCTTCCTTGTTCTGTTCTCAGTAACACTTCTGCTTTTGCTGTACTGAAACATAGACCCCTGACCCTCCAGATCACTGTCTCTGTGGTATGTGCCACCACAGCAGCTTTCTGACAGTATTTTCTTTACTAAGTGACATTATTCTGTCTGCTAAG